AAAAAAAAAAAAAAAAAAAAGAGTTGTACGTCCCAGAGCCCCTGAGCTCCTGGAAGGCATCCTCCCACTACCGACTCCTCCTGAGAAGGGCCGCGGGGACAGGAAGATGGTGGGTTCGAAGCGGGTTATTTGTGGTTTCTCTTAGTGGAAATAGATGCTCATCGCTGAGTGACCGTGGACTGGGCGAGCAGCGAGGCCTTTCTGATTTTCATCCCTCTTGTCAAACACAACTTTGGAGGTCGTAGGCCTGGAGGGTGGCCTCCTAGCATGTGGTCAGGGTACGGCCGGCCGCCCGCCCGGGAGGTGGCACCGCGAGCCCGCCGCCCCTGGCCGCGAACTCGATCCAGCCCACCGCTAGGTGGCAGGCCGGCCCGTCCGAGAATCGCCGCGCGGCCGCAGCTTCCACTCCGATCCCTGCCCGCCCCGCTTTATTTTCTGTCTGGTGGCGGCGAGGGTGGGGGTGGGATTGCCTCTAAAAGCAAAGCTGGAAAACATTTAATTTAGTGGATGCCGTCCCTTCTTCCCGACGCTCCCGCCTGTAGCAGCCACAACGCGGGTATCCGGAGCCGCTTTCATGTACTCTAAGTTGATTTTTTTTTGCCCCGGAAAAGCTTTACGTACTGGAAAGGGAAAGTAGGCGCACTTGTCTTCAAAAGGCAGAATGGCACTCGACGGTATGGGCAGAGATTCTTGCCAACCACTGGTCGTCCAGCAAAGAAAGTCGGGAATAAAAAACTCCTGATCGCCTCGGAGGAAAGGGGCGCTGGGGGCCGAGGCCTGGGTCCTCACTCGGGCTCACGGCGCCCAGCAAAGCGGGGGAGTTCTGGGGAGTCGGGTGTGCGCTTTCGGTGAAGCTGAGGGTCTCGGAGCGGACATCGGGAGGGTTGGGAGGGGCCGTTCCTGGCCCCCACACCGGCCTGGGCTGCCACTGCGCGGCACCCTCGCTGTGCTGGCGGCCGCGGCCCCACTTGTTGCGCAGTGCTGGAAAGCGGCACGCGCCATTCCATGTTGACTCACAGAGGGCTGCAGACCAGCCTACCGCTGCTCCACGCCATCCACAAACCTCCTCAACACACCCCCTACACACACGCCCTACCACCGCCGGCAAAACTACAGCACCTCCAGCCGGTCTGACGTTTTACACCAAAACATCCCTCACGATCTCAGCATTAGAGGGGCAGCAGAATTCAGATGCCCCGAGAAGTCATTCCGAGGGGAAGGGCGGGCCACCTCCGCCTGGAGAACTCTTCTACTTAAAGTCAACCAGGCACCCCCCCCCCCCCCAACAAAATATATACATATATTAGAACCACGTTGCCTAGTATAACACCATCCTAGTTGCAAAGCAACATTTTTCTTCCGTACTTGATAAACTGCAAAGTCCTTTTTTTTTTTTCAATTAGTTTTATCTCCCTTATGTTTTCTTTTTTAAATCTCTGGGGGGGAAATAATGCTTCATCAGGTCACTTCCCAATATTTCCCAAAAATTGACTTTTGCCAATTGTTTCACCTACCGAGGGGTGGCGCTGCTGCACCGCCTCCTCTCAATCTCTGAAGTTTTTCACAACAAACTGGGTTGTGAGTGTGACTACCCTGCGGGGGAGAGGGAAGGAAGGGTTTTGACATCTATCCATGGCTACCATTTACTCAACCAATAACTGGAACTCTTCAAGGGCTCAGCAAACGACAACTTAAGAATCTAGAGTCCCATCCCTGTCCACCAAACCCAGAATAAATTAGTCTTCTCAAGAAAGCATTGGGATAAAACCCTTCAAAACTGAAAGGAAGAGGAAAGGGATAATTGGAGAATTCCCACTTTTCCTGACTTTCTCCCTCAAGTCGCCTAGTTTTGATGAACAGCATCTAGGCTTCTTGTCACTATCAACAGACCCCTAAAACTAGCCAATGCTTCAGCTTCTAGTATTGGAAAGTCTTCCAAATAGGATACTGGAAACTTCTATTTATAAACTTGGGGTGGGGGGGGAATTGGGGGGGATATTTCCCATCTACAGGTTTCTATTTTGGCCCGAAGACTCAACTGCAGTCATTAGAGTAAAGGAATGCCCATCTCCTGATACTTATTCACCACTTCCTCCTTCCCCAGAGACAAATATCTTTTCTTCTCTTTTTAAAAAGTATATATTTTAAAGCAATAATGTGATTTCATCTCTCTCCTTTGAGCTCATGTTTGCTACCTCCAGGAACAGCGTGTGGACTAGGGCCAGATGAACTTCAACTTGGGCTGCAGATTTACGAGGTTCTGTTCCAGTGCCAAAGGCTCTTGGTAGTAAATAGTGAGCAAAACAGATACCTGTCTCCTGATGGATCCTACCGCCCCCTCTTTTTTTTTTTTTTAAGTTATTTATTAAAACCACACACACCTTGCAAAGAAAAAGGGAAACTGGCAGTCTGTGTAGAGGAAGCCAGTGGCATTGCTCAGAGCCACAAACTGTATTTCTAAACAGCCCTTTCCCTGGTTCCCTCTCTCCTGCCCCACTTTTTTTTTTAATCCAGACTGTGAAAAACACAGCTACTGACACTCACTTTACTTAAAAAAAAAAAAAAAAGAAGAAGAAGAAGAAGAGAAAAAGTAAAGCGTTACAAGACTTTCCTCCTGGAAACTATAAACTGATTGAAAAAAAAATCCATAAAAGATTAAATCCTGGCGGGTTGTGGGGTGGTGGGTGGTGGGGAGATGGGAGGGGAGTGGAGATTGGCACGCTGAGGTGGTCGGGGGCCCTGTAACAGCTTGGGACTTTCAGCAAGCACCTGGTTTGGGGTCATTTATCTGCTCACCTGTCAGGACCCCCATCCCCAAACCCCAGCCACCAACTCAACCATCCAGGGAGGGAACACAACACAGAGGGTCTTTTTTCTATTTTTTTTTTTTTAAATCGGTTTAGCTGTGTTTTTGTTTTCCATGGGGGAGCTTTAAAACTCATTATTGCAACACTACTTCCATTTTTCGCCAGGGTTCCAATAACACGGCATCATAAAGGCAACGCAACCCACAGTTCAAGACATTTACCACGGTCACTACATCCGGCAGTGGGGTGGCCCCTAGCTCCTGCTGCCCCCACCCCCCTTTCTCCTCGCCCGCCCCCGGAGCTCAGCCGATTTCTGAGGCTCCAACTCTGCCCACTCCCTCCCCGGGCCGCCGCCGCCGCCGCCTTCCCCCATTCTTACTCCCTCGAGGAGAGCCACAGGTTGCAAATCCAACCAACCTCGCAATCTATTTTTTGCAAAATCACTCACAAAGATCTTCCTTTCGCGCCCGCGCCCGCGCCCGCTCCTCCCGCGCCGGGTCCCCCCCAGCCAGAGCCACAAAGTGCCCTTCTCTCCTCCCGAGTCTCGCACAGAAGGAACGCGGGCTGGGGCTCGGTTCGTCTTTCTCCTCGCCCAGGGTAGGGACCTCAGGAATCTGACGCCCGGCGTCCACTACGCTCAGGCCCGCAGTTCCTTTTTTACAAAGCTTGCACCATGGGAAAAATAAAATAAAATTTAGGAAAGGGAGGGAACAGCCATTGGGAGCCAACACAGAGTCACGCAGAGCTCAAAATACAAACACCGCGGCGGCCAGAAATCCCGCCACCTTTCTCGTTCTCCCGGGCCGTCCTGTCGAGGTGCCCTGAGTCCCCCCGCACGCCGAAAGGCACCGCAGGTGCAATGCGCACCCCTTTCCCACCCACCCGAAGAAGCCCTGTCCCGCCATCAACCTCTCTCTCCTCGGGATGAACAGGGAGAGCGCGCGGAGGTTCCCGACTCCCTTGACTACAACCAAGAAAGAATAATTTTCAAAGTGTTCAATACCCCCGCCCCCAAGCTCCCCAAAACACAGGGGCAGGGGACACCAAAACACTCGTCTCTCGTTAGGAAGATCAAGGCTCTGAAAGGAAATAGTAGACACGATACTTCATCTCATCTGGATTTATGACCAAAAACAAAAACAAAAACCCGAGGAGTTCGCTTGCATTTTTTCCTTCCAAATCTCGGTTCGGCTCGAAGGCAGGGAAT